GTTCATTATTCTCATGTCTGTCTCCATTTCTCGGCGTAATGTGTTCTTTGGTCTTCCTCTCCTCCTTTGGCCTTGAGGATTCCATGTGGGTGCTTGACTTGTGATGCAGTTGGGTGATTTCCTGAATGTGTGTCTTATCCATTTCCAGTGCTTCTTCCTGATTTCTTCCTCTGCTGGTTTGTTTACTTTTTGTACATGTATTTATCCAACAGAACTTTCACTAGACATGGATAGATGGAGTGCCAGAAATTTAGATAGACACCACTAACTAAACAGTTATTTCAATTTCTGTACGCACTGTTAGCTAAAATGATTAGATGAAAACAACAGTCAAAGGAAATTATTATGCTGGTTTGATCATATTTCAAGAAAACTCAGGGTCTTTCGTTGCGCAATAATTATTTTTATTTAAAGGTCAAAAAAATACCTATTTTATTATTTCAACTATAACTAAATATATTTAAGGTTAAATGCTTTCTTAAAGAATTTTTTGCTATCTGATCGATCTTTTCCTCAATCAATATTTCCTCGTAACATTTACCACAAAACAGAAATAACAGTATATCCTTATGTCCGTTCACGTTCCTTATTGTTAGGTTTGTATACATAAAATAATAAAAAAAATTATCTTTTTGACATAATTTTATCGATTTCTGTCTTCAAGGAATGAATATAAAATAGTAAATCATAATAATATGGTAAACCAGGGAAAATTATGTTTAATAAATTAAACGAATACTTTATACATTTGTAGTGTGTGCTACTGATATTGATAGATATAAGTAGTATGCATCGTCAATCGAAAGGAGAATGTTCGGAGGCAGAAGGTTAAGATCAGAGAAAAGAGAACGAAAATAAAGAATGATTGGTGTAGAAACGAAAGAGCAATGAAGTCTGAGACGATTGGCTGATATTTGCTAAAGGAACAGTCAAGTTTGAGACCATTAATTGACATATTGCAAATGTTATGATTACTGTATGGTTCGCAGATTTTACTAAGATGTTCTGTGATTTTGTATTCAAATACATTCAATTGTCCTCACTTGTGTTCTCATTTACTACACATTTAGTGTCGAATGTCAAATCTTTCGTAGCTTGAATTATCAATGTTTCATTCAATGTTTCTGAGATTTAAACAAAATAAATTAATTTAACGGTTATATAAATCCGAAGATAAGCAAATTAGTTTATTAAATATTATAACCATTCATCTTTTTAAATGATTTGATAAAGTTTTTGAATATTGTTTTGTTGGACAGGTATAGTACTTAAAGACTCTTGTATATTTGAAGTAAATTTTCCAAATGTATCAATGTTCATTTAAAACAATCCTTGATAATGTATATGAATAATCAATGTATAAATTATATAGTAATCAGTCACTTGCCATTTACACCTGTTCACCATGCTGATTACCGCTATGATTACACTAGTGTGTAAACGGTTGCTGACAATTTCTAACTTTATTTATTGTATGGTATAATATGTTCACCATTATACATTTGGGATAGTTATCATTTTGTGTCATTATTCTCTGTTTCGATGATCCACTAGATCATGTTTTCATATTTGATTTACGTAAACTTGATTTGAAGGCAATTTGCTAATGAAGAGTGTATGTTCGTACTTTTTAATGCGAAGGCTTTATGAGCGATTTACTCACGTTATCGATTTTACTGTCAACCAGACTGTAAGAGCTAATATAAATAGCTACAATCACTATGTATATATCATTAATAATGTTATGGTATATATATATATATAAACTGTTTAGATGTGAATCCAGGTCTTTCTGTCGTATAGATTATTTCGCTTAGATTGCCGTCTAACGACCAAATTACGTCATTATCAACAAAACAATGTTTTTAGTAGAATCTAAGTGATACAAATAGAATACACATTACAAGTTGACAATCAGTTAAAATACGTAAAAACATAATAATAATGATTTATGATAATCGATTGCGGCATTCAATATAAAACAAGCATTTCTTTTCTTTATAACTTATTGCTTGAATATAGCATCATTCTGTCAAATATTTCCAAACATACATCTCACAAAATTTAAAACTGTGACTCAATAATTATAAAAAATTTTTATCTTTTCATAGCTATTCTACAATCCAGTATATTCTATATCATCAATGTGTAGTAATCTCAATACAGTATTAGTTAGTAAAACTCTGAGATGTGTAAACAATTTCATTTCAATGATGACAAGTTTGACCTTGAATATATAATTGTAAATCATAGTTTCTTTTAGGAATGAAATCTATCTATCAACAAACAGCACAGTTAATTTTTATTACACAGTTTTTATAACTGTGATAGAGTTAACATTAAAATGTGATTAGAATTATTTATATTTCAAGGAAATATATTTGTATTTATTTATGAGAATACTTTTGATGCAGATGTGAGGGTGCGGATCGACAAAGCAAGGGCAGCATATCTACAATTAAAGAACATCTGGAGCTCAAAACAACTATTTGTCAACCAACACCACAGTCAAAATTTTCAGTACAAATGTCAAGACAGTTCTACTGTATGGGGCGGAGACGTGAAAAACTACGGAAGCTATCATCAAGAAGATTCAGGTGTTTATTAACAGTTGTCTACGCAAAATACTTCGGATCCGTTGTCTAAACACTATCAGCAACAACCTACTGTGGGAGAGAAAAAAACTAGATTCCAGTGGAGGAAGAAATCAGGGACAAGAGCTGGAAGTTGATAGGACAGTCATTGAGGAAAGCACCAAACTGCATCACAAGGCAAGCCTTCACATGGAATCGTCAAGGCCAAAGGAGGAGAGGAAGACCAAAGAACACATTATGCCGAGAAGTGGAGACAGACATGAGAATAATGAACCAAAATAGGATAGAACTAGAAAGAAAGGCCCATGCTCAATTGCGGTTAACAGGCGTAAGTAAGTAAGTCAGTAAGTAAGTAAGTACGAGAATACTTTACTGGGAGTAAATATTTCAAAAGTTATAAACCATTTTTTTTAAAGTAAAAATTTAGAGTTAATAACAAACATATTTAAGACTATTGGAGAAATTATAACAAAAAAGCGATAATACTTGGGAAAAAAACATTTGAATATTGTAATAAAAAGTTTAAATTCAATAATACTATAACCATGACGTAAATAACTTTGAATAAGTTGAATGTTGACACTTTAAAATGAGTAGGGAAATATTTTAAAGTTTATCATTAAAATTATAAGTCAGTTGCTGGTTAGGAGTCCAACTATGAACTGTAGTTTTATTTTAGACATTACAGTAGAAACAATTAAGGTTGTCTAGTACTAACTAATGAACTGTAGTCAATCTATACATCATACGTGTGAAGTTAAATAGATCTCACAATATTACGTCACGTGATATATGATTAAACTTCAAAAAGTATCCATCATTTGGTAATCTAAAAATACACTTAAATAATATTTTATAAATTCAAAACTAATGGCAATAATCAAAGATGGACAGTGACTAGCAGTGGAATCCAGGACGCGCGTTTCGTCCTATTTGGGAATCGTCAGCTGGATGTCTCAGAGGAGTCCCAGAGTGAACATCAACTCTGAGATGAAGGCACATTCAGCTGACGAAACCTAAGTAGGACGAAACGCGCGTCCTCCATTCCACTGCTAGCCACTATCCATCTTTGCTTATAATGCTTGTGAATTAAGGTTATATCGAGGCAATACGCAGAGTATGCACATATGCCAATTAGAGACTGACCAGTTGCAGTCCTAATCATCAATGAGAAGATTCAAACAAGTAACACTAAGTGAATAATGACAATAATATTTACAAGACACAATAAATGGGACATCAAACAGAATGAATCTATTTGATGATGTCGATCATTCGATAAATGTTCTCTTTTTGAGTTCGTGGTCCATTACATTTAGGTTTTCAAAAAAATATCCAACATCTTAAGTCTTAATAAAAATGTGAAACTTTCTTTTTAATTATAATGTTTCGTCACTAAAGGAATTTTTAGGTCAGAGATATGATAATCAGCAAAATAGTTGGGAACATAATTTTTCATGGTTCAAATATGTCATGCCCCGAAAAGAATAATGAATGATAACTTTGGGATCTATTTATGAACCAATATTATGCATACATTTTTTATCGTATAATCGCTAAATAACTAAACTATTCATATTCATGTCTCCCTCTTTAATAAGCTTTATTTTGAACTATAAACTATTATATGATTTACAATTCTTGAGTTATCCCTAGTCTATTAATTACCGCTTCCCACATTCACAGCCACATTTGGTTAAATCTTGTACACATGTTATTTTCTATTTTATGGTACAATGTGGTCAGTTTGATTGGTATATAAACTCAGTATGTTTGGAATGCAATGATTCATACCGCAGAGGCTGTTATAGACTGGCTGGGCTAGGCAGAATCAGGACCGACAAGTGCTCTAGACTGCTCGTACGGTTTCCGTGTGTCACTGTTCCAATCGATAATTCGCTGCTTTCTGATTGGCGGCGTTATCAGGTCATACGTTAACAAGGCATCCACTCGGTCCACAAGTTATAACAAAATAGTAATTAGTTACAAAACATTTATACATTGAAATATTTTCAATAAATTTACTACAGAATTAAAAAACAGACATGACTGATTATCCATTCCATGTTTCCTAAATCAACCAACTCTTCAACTCAGATCAAAATATGATAGCATTTGGTAATATTATCCTAATTTTATTTCAGTTATAATCTTAAAAACATTTATTAACAATAAAATAAATGATGTGAACAGAGAAACAAATAAGCTGTGACAAACAACGGAAGGAATTTTTGGGGACGTTATTTCACTTAGTTCAAAGCTTACAAAACAGTGACACTTATTTTTGTAATTAAATGGTTGAATTCATGAGTCAATTTAAGCTAGACCACTATGAAAGATCTGGAAGCACTGGATTGTCGTTTCGTTCTAGTATGAAACTTCTTAATAGTGCGCATCCATTATCCTGCACGAGGCGTTCGAACCCATTAAATTAGTACAATTTCCACAAACCCTCTTCAGACAATTATTTGCGTTTGTCTCTAGTTTATTCTATGAGCCATAAGCTTTCGTTTACTGGTAAACCCTTTTTTATTCCAAAGTTATGGTAATTTAAATGTAGTTTTTTGTAGTCTATTTTCTACCTTAATCCCTAGATTTGGACATAATTGTATTTTTCTTATTGTTTGTGCATTGCGTTCATCTTACTCATCTATATTATTCATATATCTTTTTACACTATTCTGAATGGGAGTGTGAATCGGAATCGGGAATAAATCGAGTAGTGTCCTTGTTGACTCGTCTTCTTTCTCACACGCGTTTGTCAACCAGTCGAGTGATAGAGTAGTTTTCGTTTCTCTACCCAAGGCAGTTGGTCTCATCTCAAACTCACACGATTCTAGCCTCAACTTTGAGCCAGTTAGCCTATTGTGTCAAGGCCTTAATCTAGATTGAGACAAGTTATTTTCTGTATACTGTTATGAAGACAGTCAAGGACCTAACAATAAACTAATCAGTTATAGAAGAGATGTTCATCATGTTCATGTTTGCTTTCCTTAAAAAGTGAAAACCAATCAAAATATGTTATCATTGTTAATCAAAGCAAAAACACCTTTTCTAAATAAACCCTAATAGTTGTATAAAACATTACTAATTACCAACGATAAATACAATTAAATTTCTGCTTGAATGAGTTTTTCATTAAACAAGTTGGAGAAGTCATGATAAAGTACACTAGCTATTTATTGAATATATTAGGCGAAAGAAGTAGTACTTTCTAAAATGTCGGTGCTTGTGAAGAGAAGAAATAAAGCATAGCTCTAGCGATCATAAATAGTACAAAGATATATGCAAATTGTTACTATCCAAATGACAATGTCGGTTAAGTAAGTTAATAAAAGAGTTTAGCCAAAATTAACCATAATCGAAATTGTGTGTAGTATAGTTGCAATAACATACATTTAATTTTGTTTATTTATCTTCATTTTATGCATGCTGTGACATACTTGACTCATACCATCCATCAAATAACCTGAATCCATCAAAAGACACTGATCTGAGGCGATATATGGTCAATGCGATTTTTCTTATACGTACATCTGTAACCCCAACCCTCTTTTCTCTACTTTTCAAACCAAACGTTTCGAATGTATAATACGAAGTTATTATTTTTAAGATTGTTAACATGATTGGATGACCTATTTAGTGCACAAATAAATGGAGAACCATGTAATTATTTATATTCGATAATTTCCATGTTTGATTACAGCTTTTTGAAAACGTTTTTAGCAGATTGCCGAGCGAAACGTTGGATTTACCTACAGTTAAATCGCTGAGATTTTTACAAGTATAATTTTCCTTTTTAATATATGGTGTCCTGAACTAACTGAAAGTTTTCAATATCCTGAACAACACATCATTTATGTAAACGTAGTTGAGGATTTTCAAGTTTTATGTCGGATAAGTTTTATTTTTCAGCAACTAAATATAATTGTAACGATCATTTCAATATCATATCATTATAACTTGGATTAAAGTCAGTCGAATAAATGAAAAAACGTAAACTTATTCAGTGAACATTATTTTCACTTCGTCTTCAAGTTTGCCGGAAATCTATTTATTCTCGATACCCATCAGTGTCAAGTTAGGTAACAGATGGAGTACTAAAACGGAAATTAGAACTTCATTAAGATACCTAAATCACTTACAATGTCTTCGTTGCTAATTGAATCACACTGGTAATTTTTAGAATCCTCATAAACTTATGGTTATAGGTGGGAAACCAGTATTTTTATTCGAGTGATCCCAGAGTAAAACAATCTATTAATCTATTTATCAGAATGTCAGTGGGCAGTCGTAACTTCACGTTTTTATTGTCGCACCCAATCAACTGTTATAGGACACATTTTATAATTTGAACTAATCCACCATTTCACGAAGCTATACACTATTTTAGAATACTTGTGAAAAAAATATCTTCATATTTCACTATGAAAATCCTCACAATATCTTAGGTATGATGAGAACTACGTTGAATTAGTTAATCATTCTACACGATAGTTTCGAACCATGAGTCTATTGAAACGGTATACACAAACTTTACAGAGATTTGTATCTTGCAACTAACAGGGCAGCAATATTTTATAAACCGACTAATAATACCATAAATAAAATTTCGGAAACACATTGGTGACTTGATTGCTGCATAGATTTGAATTCTTAGTATAATCATAAATTTAAGGATAAAGATAAACACACTATTCATGACATTGTTTTTGTTAGAAATCTAAAATTAGGTTTTTTATTACCCTTAACTTAAAAGAATCAATCTGAGTTAGGTTGTAGTGTCGGTTACTATGATAAGCCCACGTAACTTATTCTAGCTTCTGGATCGGCCAGTTTATCTATTCTTCTTCAGTCACATTTTGACCTTGTTAATTACTCACTTATCAACCCTGACTGTTTTTATATGTGTATGTGGGTGCACATCTTATCCTACTCATAACATGTCTGTAGCTTATTTTGTGCGACTATAAATATAGATTAGCGCTTAATTAAATCTCTTTGGCTCACTTGCCTTCACCACTGCGCATCGTTTCATTTAGCTTCGCACTCTCTTCTTCGCTACGTCTCTCTGATCGTTTGTTCTGATCAGCGATTGTACAAAATATACGTATTCAGAATTCATTCCCTTATTGGACACATAATTCCGATATTCACTAACGCGATTTAAGTCGATGATTTTTATACGAGGATTGACGATATGTATATTTCAATAATATTCATACGATCTAACTAGAGTCAGATTAAGGGCCATTAAAACGTAGCACCTTGGTTGAAAACATAGTTTTCATTAAGTTTAGTGTATACTATACGTGAATGGGTGCTAGATTATGTAAGGGTGAGAGAATATCATACTACAAACCAAAGAATCATAAAGAAGACTGATCTAGGAGTTAATCAGTGCAATTAAATAAAAAGTCAATCATTCAGTGTGATGTCATTTATCAGAATATAGTGGTAAATTTATCATTTTTTTATATATCAGACAGAACCATAACTTCTTACAAATCTCATTTCTTGTTGTTGATAAAAATAATCACAACTAAGTTGTTAGATCATTGTTATACATATCAAACCAGATAATAAGAAATTTTTGATTGTTTGTTAAGAAGAAGTAGGAATGCCAGTCAATGGAATCAGATCAAGTAATCTGTCTACTACGACGACTGAATATTTTGAAGACTAGTGACCGTGACAGGCTTCAAAGGAGAAAAAAGAATGTTATACTAAGAAAAAGCTATCCTATACTTTCCGTTTATAACTTCCATCCTAAAATATGAAACACAACGAAAAAACAAGTTTCTTTAATAAGCATTATCTACTTAACTAGAAATAAATAAAGTATACTGGATCGATGAGCAAAACTATACATATATGCACATTTTGTATAGATAAAGTAAATAAAAATACAACTTTCTACATATAAATACAAATACAATTAAGATAAACAAGAGTAAGCATACCATTCCAAGCAACAACAACAACAAACAACTCCATTTATGAACATTTTTCCAATAAACATTTCAATAAATCGAAATAGCTGTTGATTCAAAATAAATCTCGAAAATTAGAGAATAGAATCAACAGCATTTAAATAAACGAAAGAATAACGTATACAATTGATGGATTCACTGCTATTCCACACATAGTCACACACACACACGCGCATATACACATACATACTTGTTCAAACTCAGGAAAAATGAACATTAGAGTGTTACACGTTCAAAAACATCATAATTATTACCCAACCACAAATATAAAATGAGATAAAGCAATGGCTAAAATAAAGAAGCATAGTGAATATATTATAATATCTATATCCATAAAATAAGTCTCAAGAATAAATGTATTCAATAAATGAAATCATAATTAGAAAAATGAATAACAAAAAAGGGAAATGATTTTGTTCCTTTAGAAAAAAGATCTGCTGGAAAACAAGACGGTAACAAAATATAACAAGGTTAGGATGAGTATGGCAACTGACTGTTGCAGTGAAGGTTAAGATAATATATAATATTAATTACAAATGGTATGGAAAAAAATGATAAATGATGATGAAGTAATAATGTCAGGATTGAAGATTAACCAATTTGAGACAATGTATAAAACATACTTTTCAGTTGTTACATTGCTGATAATGATCGAAACAACACAAAAATGTATAACATGCAATTTACATTTTACTACATATTTAAGTTACAATGACAGCAGAAATAGTTTTTAATATGACTATATGCTATATGTATGTACATAATGAGAGTGAAATAAACATGTGGGAGGGGGTCTTAAAATCAAACAAAACAAACAAACAAATTAAACTTTGAAAGACATTAGTTATAAATTAGTTAAATAATGTTGGCTTTTCTTTTTTTTTAAAGAAAAATCATGAATAAAATGTAAATAATTAAGTCAGTATTCTATGAATCTTTGTAAAATGAATTCACTTTCATTGATTCAGACCATTTCAATGGACCATCATTTTCAAACGTAAGATCTACATTGTTGTATAAAAAGGAGGGAATAAAAAAATATAATTGAGTGGAAATATGTGTAGTGTGTAAATATCTAAATAAACGTGAATAGCAATACATGAAATTTATTCATCAAGTGTTAACGGTATTTTCGTACGTTAAATCCTGTACGAGACAGAGAGAGAGAAAGAGACAGTCTATAATTAACTATTAGGAATCTCAATCAAAAAAATTTCAGCCCATGTAGTTACAAACGAAGAGATTTTATTTTTTAAACACAAAGAGAAATTTACAAACGATGGGCTTCCAAAGCCTTTGCTTTGCACAAATTTCCTGTCCAGCTTCATATAAAGCCTGTTTTTCTAACTTTATCAGTAATTTTGAAAGTAGATCTTGGTAGATATGATGTTAAACAATATAACTACTGGTGGACTTTTATTTACCTCTGGATGAGAAACCCGGGCATAACGGAAGCAATTAACCTGGTCTTCATGTCCAGAAGAGGTATATTAAATTTCCTAACTTAATAAAGTCCTGATATCCCATCTTTGTCATGTATTCTTCGCTTTTTTTATCTTATATTTTTTCAAAGTGAACTATTATCTTTAAAAGCCTCTCTTATATCTTGTCTTGTGTTTTACTGAAATCGTTTTAATTAAGCTTGTAAATCATTTTTATTAACAAATAAATAATAAAAATAAAATGAAACTCAGATGTCCAAAAAAGTCCACTGATTAGTAGCAACTAGATGAAGTATGGCCTACTGTTCCCAGTTGTTACACTTTGAAAAGTGAATCGATCAATTTCCATACTAAAACAGTCAATAAATTCAGTGCACTATAATCGATTTACATCTCGTAACACTAGAAATTACATTTTCCTCTCGAATTACAGTTAATCTTGTTAGCGAAAACTTTATTAATCAGATCGGATCAGATGAAATTATATTGAACCGATGAAGAGTCACCGGAAATAAAGCAATTTATGTGATTCCTTATGTAAATTTATGGACAAATTTGAAATATCGATCAGTAGTTTACTGGATTTTAGACTTCAAGACAAATGATAAACAACCATTTATGTGTAGAGAAACATAATATTTATGATGATACCATGAAAACGTGATTATAGTTAAGAATAGAAATTCAGTGAAAACTTCTGGAAAATAGATAATTATTGTTTAGGTGGTATGTTATAAAAAGTAAAATATTTCAGACAAAGTAGAGGAAAATGTCTACAGTTTGTGTGTTTAGGAATGAAAAATGCTTGAAATCCTTTCCATTACCTTTTTCCTTTATAAAGTTGAGATCAATAACAAATGTCTACGTATTTATCATAAAAAAGTATAAAAAATCACTACAGACAACTTTATGGACGTCATGCTTACAAAATAATTGATAAAACCAGTATTTCAAACCATCTATTCGACAGTAGATAATTTAAAAACTCAATCAATCTGTATTAAGAATTTCATACGGCAATATAAAGGGAAGGATTACTTTAAAATATAAAGTATTTCACAGAGGTAGAGTTTTATTTTGAACTTGACTTTAACAACATAAAACTTTAAACCAGAACGAGGCTCTAATAATGAGCTGGTAACCACAACCCTAAAGTTTTAACACTCATTTTAAGTAACGTTTATATCATGGATTTCAAATAAAGTTTTATCACTAAGATCAAGTATATAGCTAATTTTATATCGGTCACAAACAAACATCGTTCGAATAAATATCTAAACAATTTTGGTAGATTTAATTCTTCTGTGGACAATAATTTTGTCATGTGATAATCGATCAATACCGAAATTAGATTACGTAGGTCGGGTGAAACTTATTTATTTAGATCAATTATCGTTCAGAAAAAGTTTGTTTACGCTTAAACTATAATGGTTTAATATGATAAACAAATTACTCTGAAATTTGAAATACTCGCGGAAATTTTTTTACATGTTAATTCTAGGAAGTAAATTACTTTGAGACACGAAATTGTGGTGAAGCCATTTGACTTTTCGAAGTTTTGTTTTATAAGAATACAGTATTGAAATGAAGCTAGTTGGAAAACGGAGATCATGTTTAATTCACTTTAATAAATACCTTCAGTATGATAAATCATTATGTAGAAGCTAATAATTGAACCTTAGTCATGGACTGCATCTTATTTGAGGTCATTCTATAGAATAAACCTATAACATCAGTTCATAGTAAAAAACATTTAAAACTATCAGTAAATAACGTCTAATCAAATATGGTTGATTTGATCACACAAACAATTGGTTAGAAATAAAAATAACCACGGTGTTTGATATGTCAAAGATTTGAAAACAAGGAATTTACCTTCATAGTATTCCAAATATATCTAACCATACAACAAATCCATATTAATCTAGTCCTGTAAACATTATGAGTCACTCACTGTTTTCACACAGTTAAATAATAAAAAAGGTCTAAACAATGTACAAAAGAACGATTGAAATATCTTCAGTGCGCCAGAAGTAATCGATTCATAAGAAATCTCAAACTGAAATGTTATACACAATATTTACTAGTTTCGTTACTATTGTAATTAAAATAATACTGTATTCTTCCATTAGTCAGCTATGAATTAATTTTAGTCATCAAAAAAAACGTATGAAGACCGGAAATGTATACGCATCAGCCCAAGTTAGCAAACTTTACTTCAACATAGTGAGAAACAAAAATTAACAAGAAGAGAGAAGTAAAAATACAACGAAACTGGTAGTGGTAATGTAAACATCGTAAATGCAATTCAAATAGAGCGAATAAAGTCGAAAGTGTTGTTCGACTATTGAACGCAATCAACGTTGGGCCGAGTAAGTAGATTCATAATTAACCGAATGAAATTTCAGGGTGCTCCCAGCTGTTGTGGATCTCTAAGAAAGATCAACTTGCTCAGATAATCAGCAAATGCTCTCAAGGAGATTCATTAACAATACGTCCTATTTTTTACACTGAAAGATTCTTTAAAGGATAATATGCCATTGTGTAATAAGATAAATTTCCATAATCATATTTAATCTAACTGATCATCAATAATCTATACGTAGTTGATTTTATGATCACCATTATTGGTGCCTTTCGATTACTTACTAATTCAAACTATTGGAATGTAAACACATCAAGGACTGAAGCACTTTTTAACAATTTTATTTCGAATATTTCAGTACGTGACTTCTGAGCAGTTCTTATCTTATAGTATGAATCTTTCAAATACTTATGTTAGACAATTCCAATCACTCTGCTATAGGAAGACGACTAGAACTACGGTTTTTATGATCCATCGGTATGAGATACAACATCCCATTCACATTGCTGATGAACTCCAAGCTAAGGAACCGAGCTCTAGTCAACAATCGCTGATGACTGAAGTGATTAGGTTGCAACCACTAACAAGTAGTATATGCCGTACACTAGTTAACACAGGAATTGGAAAAAACTAAGTATTTAACTCATTTGTGACTTGCTACTATTACAAAGCAATCACCTACTGTATGTAATAATCTTTTAGTTAATCACCTACCATCCACTAATAATATCTCCCTAGTGAATGGGCGATTTGTTTTCGATCTTGCATCAAACACTAGATTAAACTTGATTCATGTACATAATACGATCCGCTAAGAGTTATAAATAGACAATAATATTATTAGCCGTGTTGTTCCTGAATGTAGTAACGAAAGATGAGAATTCGAAGCTCATTAGAGCTACAGGAAGTTTCAAGACTGCTAGGTACATACTAATCGGAAATGGTCACGAAATTTAATTTGCGATCTGATGAAAGTTTGAGAAATTGTCAGACTTATTACTGTTAACACGATTTAAGGGTTTTGGATTCAATCTTGAAAACAATGTTGATGAATAAGGATAGAATGTTTCATAATTTCTAATGTTAGTTAGATGATAAAAACTGGTGAAGAAAAAATAGTCATATTTTTGTGGAGAAATCCAGATACTAGTGAATCTGAGCTAATAACTTTTCCAAATAATGAAACTCATTGTGTCATTGAAGAATTAAAAACGACTCGGTAGAGTAAAATTCCTTTTCAACGATATCATTTATTTAGGCTGTACAATCTTATTTATAGCTGTTGCTAATCTTTTATGACACCTCTATTTCATTATAAACCACTATCTACAAAAATTAGCTGTGAATACGATTACCCAAATTAAATAAATGAAACTGTCAAAAATATTTTTCCAGTAGGATTGTTTTCAAATCTTCTCTAATCACTTTCTTGAAACAAGTCTACTTATGCAAAATATAGTCTATGTTTATCTGGATTAGTAAATAGTACAAACATGCCTTGAGTACAAACGTTTCCTTTCGGCTGTGGAAGTCCTCATCTTGCTTTTAAATTAAGAAAAGTTGTTAGGAAATCGATTGATGATGCCATTCTTTTCTACATAATTGATAAAAGACATAACGTTAAATCTGAAAATACCTTCCCAGTTATGGGATCAAGTTCCTAAAAATCTATAAAAAGGTGGAAGATTACACTTAACCTTTGGCTAAAGCAATTGGCATTGAATCAAAGAAACTTAATTTATACATACATTCGATCTCTTTGTTTAGGGTCGGTTCGCACTCAGTTCTAATTTTTTCCCTACCCTTTATTATGGTCTGAACTTCCTTTTAAGACACTTTCTTCTTATCAATTTTTGTACTGGTTGTCTGAGTCTTCCCGCTGATGTTTATGAATTTAATTGATCAGTCCTTATTGGCATCTATGCGAATTGCTTTAAGTAACAAGCATTATAAGCAGAGATGGATGGTGGCTAGCAATGGAATCCAGGACCCAGTAGCTAAGTGGATAATGTGATGGCGTTTGAGGCAAGTACTACCAGGCTTGAGTCCAACACCATAAAGAGTATAATTTTTCTTATCCTCTATACCTTTTTTTAAACATTACTAATGACGTCATTTGGTGTTTTCAGTAATCTATATTATTTGAAGCTGAATCGACGCGAAATTAGCCATTTTTCAATTTACTACACGGATTAAT